ATTCCTTTTAATGAAGGAATGAGGTGTAGTTGGTCTCTTGTCCTTTTAATGAAGGAATGAGATGTAGTCGGCCTCTCGCCTTTTAATGAATAAATGAGGTGTAGTCCATCTCTCGTCCTTTTAATGAAGGAATGACGGTGTTGTCAACCTCTCGTCTCTTTAATAAGGGAAGAAGGTGTGGTCGGTCTCTCATTCTTTTAATGAAGGAATAGGGGTGTAGTTGGCCTTTCATCCTTTTAATAAGGAAACCTTTAATAAGGTATAGTCGGCCTCTCGTCCCTTTAATAAGGAAAGTAAATTAAAACGAGTTTCACTCAGCTCGTCTCTTTAATAAGGTAAGTAGATTAATACGAGCTTCACTCAGCTCATCTATTTAACATGAATATCTTAACATATCAAAATGATAATGAATTATTTGAAACAACATATCCAAGTAGGGAATACTTTACTGTTGAAGCGAGATTCTGTACGATCCAGAATGACATCGTTTCTTGCAAAGAGAAACAATGAACCTTGACAACACCAGTGTGGTGCCTGCCAAGAGCTCTCCGACTTTCAAGCTAGTCACTAGAGCTCTGAAATAATAGCAAGATTTAATATATTAATTATCTCATACCTTTCAAGTCGATTCTTTACCTTCTTATGGGAGATGGTAACTGTCGTTACGTATGGTAACCGTCAGAGAGATTTTTTGTGATTCCATAGAGATTTTGGGGAGGATAAATCCCTTATCCTTATCTCATTTCTCATTTGAATTTGAGTTGCTCATTATCCACATTCAAACTGCCTATTATTTTTATCCTTATCATGTCGCCCCCCATTCTCGTGCTTGCTTGTCAAGCATCGAGAATTTCAAAGTGCTTTTTGACGGACCTCTCTTTGGCATAAATCAATCTCTTAATAAATGGTTGTACTAGAGTAATCACATTAGTATGTCAATTGAAATATGAATTATTACTGTAAATATCATAGAAGACCGACAAAAATAAAGCCCATATTACTATAACAATATTGGCTCTTGTGAGAAGAAGCACCTTCAATGGTGGTGCGTATAATGATCTGCAAAGATAGATCTTGATGTCCTAATGAGATTGCTTGACCAACAAACTTCAAACTTCAAAGTAAATAAACAAATAGAGATCTCCACAACTTTTTTCACAGGTGCAGCCTCAATAAGCAAAAGCTCTAATACCACAATAGAATTTTGGGTCTTCCGAAGACTAAAGATGTTAGGGAATGAGCCCAACAATCTAATCCAATCAAATTTGGAGATCAAAAGGTGTTAGATGAGCGTTTCAGCACTTAATCTTTTTTATGGACCCTATTATTATTTTGTTGACTCTATTATCTTTTTCGGTTGAAGAAAAATTAATCAGACTTAAAGCAAATGAGTAACTTGCCCTCTTAAATAAGAACATTGTCTTAATTCATTCAAAGGAGGAAAGAAAGTAATGAAACATACTGCATTTCTTCTCAATCTAATCAAAATTCATATCTCATTCTCATAAATGAAATATAGTTGCTAAATGATAAGAACAACAATGAACCAGAATTAGAATTAACTAAATGCACATATTTTACTAAAATTTTAGTGTATTCAATTTCTCATGTATATGCAAATTTTTAAGTTTTATTCTTGCTGATAAGCAAAATTATTTTCGATAAAGTTCCAATTTCAAATATTCAAATTGCAAAGAACACTTTTCATGACTTGGTTTCCAAGTTCTTGATTACCAAGAATGGCACATTGTAGAATGGACAAACTACAATATACAAACAAGGCCGATAATGGCTATGAAAAATGAATTCTTTTAGCTACTCATATTTATTTATTTTTTAGATTTTGACTATTTCACAATATTGTAAATTTTATATGAGATATCATATCAATAATGGCAAAACAATTAGCACTTAATTTAATTTTTGAATATTCCAAGAATATTATAACAAAATCAATAAAGAATGGCACACTATCATTAGTAATATGAATATTACCATTCATAGCCTGGGCTAAGGTAAGGTCGCCATTTAACAGCATTATCATTGTTAATATCCATACACTAATTGAGATGACAATGGTCAATATCAATGAAATTTTTGTTTGCAAAGAAATATATATATATATTAAATTGATAGTTGAGTATGAAGGAAAACCTGATGTCTGATAAGTCCTTCCCTCATATTGGTGCTCAGTGTAAATTGACTGAGTGTGTAGATCCAACAGCCTGAAAGTATGTGGCCAATCAATTATCTTGATCTAACGGCTTCAAATGGAGAAGTCAATTTGATTGTTGAAGTGGACAGTGGGGTAGTGCTTTTTTAGAAGAAATTGTGAAAAATGCATTTGACCGGACACATATATGTGTATGTTGAGAGCATCTTGTACTTATTATCTTGGTGCAACAGTGTGTGAGCTTCACGCCGGCAAAGAGGAGATCTTCAGTGTGATAAAAACCCAGTGAGCCTCAGAACAATGATCAACCAGTGAGGTTTAAAACAGTGTCCAACCAGAAAGTTTACTTCGTTTCTCTGGTCATCTCAGGGTACAGAACTTGAGTGATCATGAACTTCGGGGAGAGACGGAACTGTAGTGATCATGGACTTCAGCGAGAGGCAGAACTTCGGTAACTATGAGCACCGATGAGAGCACTGTGTATTAGTTCCATTAAGAGCTTCAACCATTCGCTACTTAAAATCGGCAAGAAGTGTTACAGCGACCCAGCTGAACAATTTCAACCTCATTGAAAGCTCAATTCGATGGAGGTGATCGAATTCGTGAGTGTCAAATTTTTAGGCGAAGTGTTTGAGTTGCATCGACAGTCTCATCAAACATGTTTGCATATAAGAGTTTGGTACGACCCGAAACATAAGTTCCTATAGACGGCGCCAACTGTTGATGCAAAAATCTACATGCTCCGGAGTCGGTGACGATTCTTGCAAGATAAAATAAAAGTGATGACCGACGTGGTACCGGCCGAGTGCACTCCGACGGTCAAGTTAGTACTTGACGATTGAATATACGAGAAAGGATTCCCCCTGCGATGGGATTTATGGCGTACCTTTTTATGCTGATTGGCCTCCGGGAGAGAAGGAATTAGTTAATCGTATTTTTAGTGCAACCTTTGAATTAATTAAATCTTATTATTTAATTACCTTATGAGATGGTCACCTGATCTCCTTACGTTTATCTATGCCTTTTGAGTCTCCATGTCACTTGGAATTCTTATCTAGTCAAATATTCCGTATCACTTTTGATTTATGAGCATGATACATGGTTGTAGTAATCTGTTTTACCATAGTTAGATATGAGTAAATGGTATTATGATTTTAATCATGCTTCTATCATATTTATTGTTATAGATTCGAACTATTATGACTTATAATTGTTGTGTCATTATTAGATGTAGCTATGATGAGATTTATTCCTGTATATAATGAGATTATTGAGATAACTAATAAGTTAGACTTCTTGATATTTTACACCATTGCTAGATATGGTCTTGTTGGATTGATGTGTAGGTGGGCTGACTAATAAGTCAAGACACTCTACTTGTGCCATTTTTAGATATGGCGTTGTTTATTGATGATATATTATATATATATGTGTGTGTGTGTGTGTGTATGCATATATATGTATGTATATGTATGTATATGTGAGCCATGATACAGGTTTGACGTCTTGGGTTCAGTGGTTATGACTGAGGTGTATATTAACAGTTTAGATGGGTAATTAGATATAGAAGATGTGTGTACCCTGGTAGAAGGGACTTTGTACCATCTCATGTGCGATTTTTTATGAGATACCCAATATCTGGTTGAGACTGCTCTATTGTTTAGTAGGAGTCTTAATGTGTATATTTGTATGTATTGACTATATAGATAGTGCATGCGTTTAGCTAGGGATGTATTGATTGTCGATTCTTTGATCGGGTCGTAGTAGAGGGAACTTGTTTGTGAGTTTAACCCACTATTTATTTTTCACGTGCTCTACAGTACCAGATTTAGAGTTATTCGTGCAGATTAGAGATCGTGCATCTTCACTCTTCCGTATCATTGATGTAGAACGTTATCACTTAGTAGTTATTTATTATTTCAGTAGACGTTATCTTTAGTTATGGGATTTTTATTAGGGTCCTTGATATATGGATTTCCGAGTTGTACTTTGGATGTTTATGATTTATATTTGGAGTATTGGTATCAGAGGATAATTATTTATTATTTAGTTTTCTTTGCAGCGATATTTATTATCCGATTTGTATGTTTGTTTATTACTAATTATTTTGATATTCCCGATTCTTGGGCAATGACTTGAACAACCTGCATTTCGAAATTAGGGATATCACAAAGAAAAATAACATGATCGTACAAGAGAGGGCCTCTGCAAATGATGATCATGACCGTGAAAGGAAGGGCTAAAGAAAACCTAGTTGAAAGGTGTCCAAGTCTTCTTACACGAAAAGCTAATGAAATGACCAAAGTACCAATTGGCCCCACGGTATCAACCCTTCGTCCCCAAAGAGAGGTCGGGGTTCGAACCTCTGTAGAAATAAGGTGTGTCCGTAATTACTTTAACTTTAAAAAAAAAAAAAAAAAAAAGAGCGAATGAAATGAATCAAAGTGCAAGTGTAATTATGTGTTGGGCAAAATGATCCTTTGTTATTTTCATCATTTTTTTAACAATATATTAATAAAGGTGGATGAGTAAAATCACTTCAAAAAGCAACCAAATCTCATAAAAATGGTCTTGCGAGAAAAAAAAAAAAAACAGAAGTCAAATAATTCAACTACTTAATATAAGGTCAGTGTATTTAAATTTAAATTTTTTATTTTTATTTTATTTAAACCGAATTTTAACATTTTTTCGAGCATCAACTTACCTTTTTTTTTTTTTTTTTTTTTTTTTTTTTTTTTTTTTTTTTTTCTATGGTGCTATACTTGGTAAACTAGGGAATTTTTTTAAAAAATTTAAAATTAAATTTTTTTTTTAGGTAAGTGACGAAATTAGGGTTTCGAAGTAGAAGCCTAACCGACAAAAGCCTGTATGGTTTCAGTCGGTTCTCCTTCTCCATCGGTCGCTCGTTAGTACAATAAAAAATTCATCATACAATGGGCTAGGGTTCGGTTCTTCGAGTCATATCGTCTGCAAGTACTCTGTCTAAAAATGGTTAAGAGAGAGAAGAAGCAAAAGCCATCGAATTTCGATCGCGAAGAGGAAGAAGACGACGAAGAACAAGTGAAGCCATCGAATTCGCTGGTCGTGCTGAGCAGCGACGACGAAGAGGCCAATGAAGATCTGAGCTTGAAAATCGTAGAGAGAGCGATGTTACGAGCGTGTACCACCGACTTAGACGACGCCGTTTTTGGCGATGGGAAGAGCGATGATGACGGTGGTATATCTGTCGGTGGAATTGATCTCACACCGTCGTCTTTACCGGAAGCAGAAATTGTTACAGATTTGAAGAATGAGAAGAAAAGGAAGGAGAAGAAGAAAAAGAGCAGGAAATTTGAAACGGAAGAGGAAGCTGTAAGCATTTGTATTTGATCCCAATTTATTTATTTTTATTTTTTTATTTTTTATTATTTATTATTTTTATTATTTTTAGTATTTTAAATAAATTTGGTTTTGATTTCTGTTTGGTTTCTAGGAACCTGGGAAGGCAGGGGGAAGAAACAAGACTGAAAAATTGAATGTTAGATTTTTTTGTTTTGAAATTTATTGGCTTTTCTGTTTCCAAATATTGAGTATAATTTAACCGACACCAGGCCATACAACTTGTTGGCTTTTCTGTTTCCAAACAAGGATGTCTTAGAATTAGAATTATTAGAGTTCTTGAATTTGTCTTCTCTGGTCAGGTAAACACATGTTTCAAAGGCTCCTCAAGGAATTATTTTTCCTGCGAAATAAGGATTCATTTGGTTTGATGGAATTGTACGTAAAAGACAAAAAAAATGAAATGGAGGGATAGTCAATTTCATGTTTTGTTTACAATCGAGGAAAGGAAAGAAAGGAAAAGGAGGAATTGCTTAACCCCTCAAATTGCATTTCTCACTGTTCTTCCAAAATTTTGAAAAAAACAAGGAAAAGAAAACTTAAATATTATTGGTGTAAACAAACAGACTAATTTTACCTGAATGTATTATCGTCAATTTTTTCCCAGGTGAAAAAAATAGCCAGAACCAAGTACTAACCGACTTGCATTATCTAGCTATTTCTTCAAATTTTGGTTTCAGTTTGATTTGTTTATGGACAGGGTTATCTGAATTTGAGTTTGCAATCTCTTATTATAATGTCGGTTTTGTGCACTTATATGTAAATAGGTTGATGCTGGGAAGGAAGAAGAGAAAGCAGAGACGGGCAAAACTTTAGAGATTGATAAATTGATGGAAAAAAATGCTGTTGAGATATCTGACAACACTGTGCTACGGAAGCTTCTTGTGAGTAAAGTGATATGGTTCATTTTATTTTGGGAAGTTTTTGTTTCATTTTATGGCTTAGACTGGTATCTCTCTTATTTATTTCAGCGGGGACCAAGATATTTTGATCCTCCAGGAAACAGTTGGGGAACTTGCTATAATTGTGGTGAAGAAGGTCATACATTTGTAAGCTGTACTTTGGCTAAGCGGAAGAAGCCGTGCTTTCTTTGCGGGAGTTTGGAGCACCATGCCAAGCAATGCAAGAAGGTTTGTGGAAGGAAAAATAAATTGAAAGGTTATTTTTTGTTTGTTTTTAATGAACTTGAATTGTATCTATCGTTTTTGTTTGGCTCCAATTGAAGTTTGACAGTTTGTCAAATTTGGCTATTGGATTTGGATGGGATTTCTCTTCTTGATAAGTGTTTTTTCCCCTCTCAAGTTGATGTAGTTTGATTGATGAAAATTTCAACTCTCTTTGGCTTCATTAGTATCCAGAAGCTGAATTGACTACAAAAGATCGGTTTTTTGGTCAAGCGTCTGTCCTTGCTGCCACTTAGTTTTTATAGTCTCCTTGTGGATTCTAGACTTATAGAAGATAAATTGTTTCTAAAACATTATTTTAATTCTCTTGAGACCTCCGAGGCATGACTGATGTGTATTGGTGTGGGAAAGAAGTTTATGCTTAGCATGGACTTGAATCCTACATATGTACTCAACTTTTATAAAAAACCAGATGGGTGCAAATGCTATGCATGTGAGCATATAGGCATTGTCACAAACAATTACCGGAGATGTGAATTTCTTTATACAGTGGCTTGGTAGGCCAAAAAGTCAGATGTTGGATGGTACATTGACGCACATGTAATTAATGGTGAGAGAAGGGAACTTTATATGGTAATACATGCCTTAAGGACATTATGATTCTTTAAGCTCTTAATGCTCTTAGAATGGGTGGACATATTGTTACAGTTCATGCTTCTATCCCTGCATGCTTTTGTGTCAATGTTTCGAATTTGTAAGGTTGGGGATTGTGCTTTTGATTCCTTAACTGGTTACAATTTATTCAATGAACTAATGGATTTCCGTAGCATGTTTGGCGTCATTCGTAGCTGTTAAAACCATATGATTAGTGATTCAAATATTATGATTCGATTCAAGTTGACCTCTCTACAATATGGATTCCTATGCCAAATTCCAAATTGTAACGAATCTTAGTGAATCAAGTGAACCAAAAGGGTGGCATTCTATTTATGATTTGGAAACAATTCTTGTGATTCAGTAGCTTTTCTTTGCCTCTATAGAACTCCAAATGAAAAACCAATATTTTTGGATTGTTCCTTCTCAACTCTGTGATTTAACCTTTGGAGTAACATTTCTCTTTGGTGTTTGGGTTTCTTATTTTATTATTAAGAAATGGTTTCTATATGAAATGGGAAGTTTTGCACTAGTATGGTATGAGTGGTAATGCTAGATTGCTTGCTTGGATTAGAACTCACTTTTCTTGAAAAGAGCTGACAATGGCTTCACTTTTGGAGAAGTACGAAAAAACAATCAAAGAGGTAGATTGTGAATATGGCAACTGTCTATCACACCACCGAAAAATTTATGTATTACTGTTCCTATACTTTTTACAACATTTTTTACTTATACCTATATAACTACTATTATCTTTTTCCAAAATTTTTAATCTCTTAGAATTCACTATTGGAGAAATAGTATATAGACTTGTGATTTGGATCAAGTAGTTAAATTTTCCAAAATTTTTAATCTCTTAGAATTCACTATTGGAGAGAGGTGTAGAGATGATGGAGAGGCAATGATGTAGAGAGCTGAAGCGACACCATCATAGTAGGGAAGTATAGAAGCAGAGATATGATGTAAATGCGAAAAACTTCAACTGCAAAGAGGGGGGCAACAACAGAGAAATGTAGATGGGAATAGAGCTAGAGCGTTGGTGTCCATGTCATGGAGAAGATAGCGGAGCTTTAATACGAAGAAAGAAAATCGAAGACATTATATACATCTATGCAAGGGTAACATGGGAATAGTATAATAAAATAAGGGTATTGTGGTAACTAGAATATATAAATGGGGCAGGGCTTGGTTGATTACTATCTTATTACTAAACGATATTTCAGCTTCAACCTGAGTTGGGTTCAACTATGAATTCCCAAACCTGCTCCTTTCCCATTTAATATGTTATCATACCCAGTGTATGCGGGGTGGAAGTCTGTTGGGATTTTGCCATCCCTAGGAACCATCGGCTTGATAATATCATTCAATTAATTACTGTGAAGGTTTGGAAGTATGTTCCAATTTTCCTTGAACATCACATAATTGCAGTCAATCTCATATGCTCAAGTGTATCCTGGACTACATATTACAGTGAATAACAGTGACCTTGTGTCCCAAAAGAATTTCTGAATATGGATCTGTGACTAATGTTTATTTGCTTATCAGAAAATTAAGAGATGGATATTTATTTAGTCACCTGATTTGCTTGTTTATTTATTTACTTCTTCTGTTGGCAGGGACAAGATTGCTTTATATGCAAAAAAGGAGGTCACCGTGCAAAAGACTGCCCAGATAAATACAAAGTGGGATCACAGAGTTCTAAGATATGTTTAAAATGTGGAGATTCTGGGCATGATATGTTTTCATGCGAGAATGATTATTCCCTTGATGATCTAAAGGTTTTTATATCCTTTGTGTGTGTATATATAATATTCATACAATTATTTTTATTGCAATAGGTATTCATGCGTTTTTCAGATCCTAAATATTTTTAATTCTTTTTGTTTAACTATTGTTTTCCTCTTTCCCCTTTTGCCTTCAACAATTAGGAAATACAATGTTACATTTGCAAGAGTGTTGGCCATCTTAGTTGCGCTAAATTTATCGATACTAGTCCAAGAGAAGCTTCTTGTTATCGATGTGGTCAACTGGGCCATACTGGTTTGGTAAGTTTATTCAAATTTTCATAAATCATCCAGCAGTATTTTTGGATGTATCAATATTTAAGATTATAGATATGTATTTCAAATTATTAAAATCGTGATTCTAGGTCGTAGAATCACACGATTCTACGATCCTAGATCCCCAAATGAGTTAAATCGAATGAAAATCGCTCCTTTGAGTAGAATCGGGGTAGAATCGTATAGGAGAATCGTATGGTAGAATCATAAGATTCTACTGATTGTATACGATTTTATTGTGTGCCTTGTTTGGCCCTGTATTTTTGCGCTGACACACTGTTTTGATGGGTTGGGCTCTTTTAATAAGAAATCCCAACGATCTTGGGGCCCAAAACAGTAAAAGATAAAGATGAAATTCTGAATTTGGCGAACATTGAAGACTCCAAATTCAGTTGTTCTTCAACATCAGGCCTTTTTTTGGTTTCTTTGTTTCTTGTTCAGATATTCCTAATTTATAAGCATGGGTATTTCTTGTTCAGTTGCACCTTTGTTAATCTGTTGTGTTTATGTTCTATTTATGTTTTTGGATATAAATTTGATAATTTTGGTCAGTGTATAATGTTTATAACTTTATGTTCATAATTAAGTAATTCATTTTGTTAGTAGCACTAGCATATGAGTTCGTAATAATTCTTTTTTTTTTTTTTTTTTTTTTAATTTTTTATATATATAATTATATATAATTCATATCTAATTGAATTGATGTTGAAAGTTTGAAACTTGATTAGTTGAATTATTTGGATATATTAGTAGCACTACATTCTCTTATACATTATATTTGGATTGGTGCTTCTATACAAGTTTTGTGTTTTGGACTTATCTTTGCTATATCTTAGAGATATAGGTTTGAAATGCTTTTCTACTAGTTTGGTAGAATCTTACGATTCTCGATCCGATTCTACGATTCCGATTCTACGATTCCGATTCTATGAAGTCCCCAACGATCCTACGTAGAATCCTGATTGTAACAACCTTGATTTCAATTGCTGTTGTATAAAGTGTCAAAATGCATCACCATGTTACGAAATGCTTGATATGATATACGTATTGAACATTTTGTTACTAACATATGAAGTTCAGGGTCCTCAGTTCAAATGTGTTAGTGTGTTGATTTGCTATCTTTGTTGTTGTTTGATAAGACTGAAAATTAACTACTGAAACTATTAAGAACTGAATTTTAAGTGTTAGTTATAAATTGAAATATTTAATATTTGTAAAAGAATTTAGTGTTTAGTCCAGTGATAAGTGATGTCTCATTCACTTATAAAAAAAGAAGGATAAATGACGTCTCTCATTCACTTAAAATTACAATTTTAAGTGAAACTTGTACTTTATTTTTTTTTTTATAAGTAGGGAAACTTGTAATTTTAAGTGGTACTAAAATTACTTTATCAATCACACTTAATTGAATAAACAATTATTTTATTCAAACTGAATTGAGTTATCAAAGAAGACCTTACTTATGTGTATTCTTTGAAGTAGGTGAGCACTGCTCCTTATTATTATATTAAAAATGTCCCTACCACCTCATTAAAATTGAGGATACAATAAATTAATAATGATGTGAGTGGAAAAGATGTCAGGAATTTTGGTTGGCACTCCTTCCCACCTCTCATCCGTCTTTTGACATATATTTCCTGTGATCCAGTCTCCTCTTTTGCAAAGTTGCCTGTGAAGAATGCTAAATTTCTGGGGGAAAGAGACAGACATGCGTCGCCCTTTTGGGTGCTCTTCAATAAATACTTATATATAAAAAAAGAGATACTTAGAATATTTTAGATTATATATATATATATATATTTTTTTTTTGATAAGTTATTTTAGATTATATATTCACTTAAGCTATGTTTTGTTTGGAATTTTTACCCTGATTTAATGACTACAATTGATTATTTTTTCATTGTTGAAAAATCCAGTTTGGTTGTCAGATAAAGTAATTATATTATAGTAGCTTAAGTAATAAGTTCATTGAATCATAATCAATGTTCTGGCTGATTATTTTTAAAATGCTGAGAATCTGTGAAGTAAAAAAAACTATTTTTTTTTTCATATATACCATTTAATCATGTTTTACCGTATTATTTTAATTTTATTCAATATTTAATAATCATTTATGTAATAATCAAAATCAACATGATTAATCTAAACATAATTATTTATCAAAAAAAAAAAATGATTAATCTAAACATAACTTATTATGCCTCAGCCTTGATACTTATCAAGAAAAAAAATTATGCCTCAGCCTTGATGAGGTGGTTGGGGCGATTTAAATATTATGTCAATTCATATCTTCTTGCACGGTTGGATTTTGTTTATGTAAAATTTTTATGGCTGTAGTGTCTGCATCTAAAGTGTGTCTTATTTGTTCAGAAAGACTTTGCTTCCTTTATATTTCATTATTACTAAATGACAATTCTGCTCAAATGGGAGTCTATATATATGCAGGGATGTGCAAGGTCATACGGGGAGACAGCTGGTGCTGGGTCACCCAGTTCATGCTACAAGTGTGGTGAAGGTGGCCATTTTGCACGTGAATGCACAAGTTCAGCCAAGGTATAGTTTTAGGTTCAGCAATTGCCGGCACACAGAATATTCATATCTTCATGCATGGTTGGATTTTGTTTATGTAAATTTTTTATGTCAATATCTGCATGTAAAGTGTTTGTGTTATTTACCACTTTGTTTAGAAAGACTTTACTTCCTTTATTGATACTTCATTATTACTAAATGACAATTCTGCTCAAATGGGAGTCTATATATGCAGGGATGTGCAAGGTCATACGGGGAGACAGCTGGTGCTGGGACACCCAGTTCATGCTACAAGTGTGGTGAAGAAGGTCATTTTGCACGTGAATGCACAAATTCAGCCAAGGTATAGTTTTAGGTGTTCAGCAATTGCCGGCACAAAATTTCTGAATATTAACATGTATTACCTTGCAGTGTTTCTGAACCCTAAAGTGTTTCCTGCATGATCTTTTTCTAGTTCCTTGCTCCTCCCCCTACTGGATTTTCTTAAGTCGTCCTAATGGTGCAAGTTTTTTTTTTTTTTTTTTTGTTGAACTTCTGCAGCGTAAGAGGAATATTGAATTATCAACCCCCAGTGGGAGATCTTATAAAGGAAATGGAGAATATGCAGGAGTCAAGTCTGTACAGGGATATGCAAGGTTATATGGGGAGACAGCTGGTGCCGGATCATCCTCACCCAATTCATGCTACAAATGTGGTGGAGGCGGCCATTTTGCACGTGAATGTACAAGTTCAGCCAAGGTATATTTTAGGTGTTCAGCAATTGCCGCACATGATTTCTGAATGTGTTACGTGCACGATGTTTGTCTAGTTGCTCCCCCATTCTAGATTTTTTTTAGAAGTCTTTCCCCCCCCCCACCCCCCAGTTTTTTAGAAGTCCTTTTAATGGTACGAAAGTTTGTTTTTTTTTGAGTTTCTATAGGTTCGTAAAAGGAATATTGAATTATCAACCACCAATGGAAGATTTTCTAAAGAGAATGGAGTAAATGTAGGAGTCAGGTCAGTACCTCATGATCTTGGTAAGGCTGGTAGAAAGAAGAAATCAAAACATGAAGAGGAATATTCGTCGCCGTCTAGACAGAGGGGTGGTTGGATTACTGAAGATCCTGGAGATTTTCCCCGTAGTAAAGCCAGAGTGAATGGATGGAGATCTCCAAACACACCAACTCATACTTGGAATCAGATTCCTAATCTAAACGCTGATGGTCATGCTCAAAGTTCTTATTCTTTTAAAAAAAGTCTAAAGCTTCATTTCGGATCTCCAGCTTCAAATGTAGCTGCCAATGTTTATCAGCACAGATTTTCAGCCTCAAGGTTTGGCAACTCTAGTAGTGATGGGACGAGGAGAAATTATGGTTGGTAGCAGGAGCCTTGTTTTCTCTTTGTATTATTTAAGGTCATCAGAAGGCAAGAACATCAGAAAGAAATAGATGCATAGATTCTCCGTATGGGTCACATCACATCTTAACCTTGTAAGTACCTCTCTTTCGTTTTAAGTTGCCTAACTGTTTTTGTGGTTTTATATTACATCTGGACGCTTCTGCATTTCCTTCACAGTTATTGAATTTCTTGTTTAAATTTCTTCTGCATGTCCTTTCCATGTTTTTTTACTAGTGTTTGAATTATTTTAAGGACAACATGGTACCGTTCTTCTGAGATGCTTGTCTCTTCTGTTGTATATTTATTCATGTTTAATTATCTTTTGTTTTGGCCTGCATGCCTTTAATGTGAGTGATTTGTTCTTGGTTAGTGTGCTAGGGCTGGGCCAAAGCTAGCTGAATACAGTCCACTTTGATGCTTTCTTTTTTTTGGCCTTGCCTGCACCTAAAATTTAGTCATTCAAATAGGCAGGGGTGCATTTGAGATTATCGCTGGAATCAGGCTAGGATAAAGTTGGCCAAACTCAGAATGTTCAATATGTATTTGGGTCTAGCTCAGTGCCAAATCAAGTTCATCAGCTTGTACAATTTTTGTTAGCTGAATACAGTATTAAGGTATGCTGTCAAGAAATTTTTGCGGTTTCTAACCCCCATAGACCCTTCTACTCAATCGACTAAAAGAAATATTTATAAATCATGATATGATATACAATAATATAGCTAACTTAAGAATTGATGTATTGTAGTAGACACAGAGGTGGGGGAATAAATATTGTTCTTTAATTATGTGAAAATATATTTTTTATTTGATTATTTTAACAGCCAATTAATTTGCAATAATTTATCACAAGCTGATCAGTAGTCGTACAACCACAAGACAAAGCATGGGCGATATATGGTCCGTGGAAAGTCTTATTGGGAGAAAAAAATGAGATCTGGTCCTGTCAAGTCATCCACTCTGAAAAGATAAGAGTATCAAAGTTGCTACAACTACTAGATATTTACTCATAATCATCTGCTGATTGTTAGCTTCGTACAACGTTTCTGCCTGTTACAGACTCTTTGGAATCACCATCCAATGCTCTTCATTTGAACGAAATCTAGGAGAAATGGCATTATGATTTGTTTTTGGGTTGGGTTTGTTATTTCAGCAATTCGAGTTCAACTCGGGCTGAGCCTTTTCAGCCCGAGGCCAATTCGGGTTGGTCTAGGGTTAACCCGGGCCCAATCCGAACGCACTTAATATTTTATAATTTTATTTTAAATTATGATATTAAATACTCACCGTTCACTTCTTTCAATCTAATGGTTGTATTTGTTGTATATATATAATAACTCTCAAGCCTAATAACCCTAGACATTTCTTGAATTTCTCTTCCTCTACATCTGCTTGGAATCCATCAACGCCACTGCCGCCGGTCATCTGGGTCTTCGCAGATGTGTAACCTCTCACCAATCTTCTATCTTCTATATTTCAGGTACTCTCTTGGTCACCCTCAGCCGACGACTCCTCTCTTTTGCTCTCTTCGCCGCTGCTCCCCCTTGCTCTCTTCGCCGCTGCTCCCCCTTGCTCTTTCCACCGCCCCTCTTTACTCTTGCCGCAGCCGTTCCCCCTTGTTGCGGTCACACACAACCCACCCCTTCTCTTTTTGTGGCAGTGAAAACTTTCTTTGATTTTTTTCCTCTTTCGAGTCAATTTTCTTAGGGTTTCCTGGAATGAAAAAACTAGGGTTTGAGTTTGGGAAGTTTCTGAAACGAAAATACACAAACAAAATTTCAAATTAGGGCTGCCCAACGTGCAATAGGACTCCCAATCAGTAATGGGTTTTTGTTAAAATACACTAACAATAAAGTGTATGAAAGAAACAGCTAGGTATACACAGTAAAGAAAAATTTAATTTAATTTAATTAATTAATTAATTTTTTTTTGTGATTTGTATTCACTTTTTAATTTATTTATTTTTTTTAAACTTGTGCTGCGTAATAAGGTACCATTGTTCCATTAAATTTTTTTTTTGTTTGCCGCAAAAAAAAAAAAGAGGAAAAGAAGGTGTCAACCTGTTGACCTGATAATTTAGGGTTTGGTTTGAAAATATTAGGGATGTCAATTCATCTATTGGTAGTGTTCTTGTTATGTTTTCATAAGATTTTAATTGTAAGTATTACATACAAAGGGTATGTTCAGCCTTTCCAAAGCTGAAGAAATTCAAACAGAAAAAATGCCACTGGTATATTAAATGTAAGCGTACCCGATTGGTGGGAAAAGAAAAGAAAAAAAAAACAGCTGGAATGGATCAGCCCGGGCAACCCGCTGACCCGGAAACATTCGGGTTTGGTCCCATGGGAATGAGCCCGAATTTGGTTTTACTTCAGCCCGGCCCAAGCCGCCCAACCCGAAGCCGGGTTTGGGCCGGTCTGGGTTGGGCAGCCCCAAGTTGCACCCCTAATCTCAACAACACTTTGCTTTCTATGAATTTCAGTTTACATTCCAAGCAATGTATTTCAATTATGTTTAATTTAAGTCCAACGACGCTCAAATGTTTTACTTTCCAACAACTGTGTTTACAATTCAAGTTAAGTACTTTCAATTTCTTTCCTACTAGCTCTAGAACTTTTCCTAAGTCCTTTTTCAAGGCAAAAAGAACCTTTGAAGTGGTCAATTAGGCTTCTTCAACAATCGCCTGATATCACAATTTCCAACTGGAATACTGTTTGGATCCTCTTTGGAATGACAACAGTTCCTGGCAAGCCCGCATGACCGCACCTTCCTGTACCTCTGGAAGGGACCCTTTTTGTAAGGCCAAACAGTTCATAATTGAATAATTTTTATTCCTTGAAGGAAGATGGATCTCTATCAGATTTTTACTTCCATGATACTGTTTATGTGACACTGGGATCGACTCGCAGACATGGAAAATTTAGGTCGCCTTAAAGGCAATATGGTGCACAAGACCTCGAGTAAGCATGGAATATCAATTGATTGGCCATTGGAAATTAATAGAACTGTATAGTATTTAAGTAGAAAGATTCTGTTTGGTGAGAGTGATGATTTGTCTACAATGATGTTCACAGGTGGTGCTTATGCACACATGTTCAGAACTATTCCTGCCATTCATTATTGGAAAACTGAGATAATTCTAGCCTGCCATCAAGACCATTGACATTTTTATTATTTTTGATAAGTAACATTTCATTAAAGGCTCCCAAGAGAATACACAAACTGCCAAAGAGGCCAGCTATATCTTCAGATTATCAGCAAAATCCACAATCCCACATAAGTAAAATTTCACCCATTGACCAAAAGAATAAAGCATGTAAAATATCGTTATAGAGACAAAATTGGAATTTCCTTCCCATCAAAGGATCTCCTATTCCGCTCTTTTCCCCAACAAGGGGGAGTGGCCCCCACTCCCCTCCAAACATCTCTAGCTCTGCTGACCACTATACACCCTCGTGAAGCCTCGACCATATCTGGTATCATCATTCTGCCCATCTTGCCTGTTTGCTACTTAAAACCCTTAACATTCTACTTTGGATTGTGAGGAGATACTGCCAGGCTAGACCCTTGGTATTGATGCTGTGCCCATTTACCTACTTAATTTGTGGTTGAGTTATGTGAAAGTTATTGACACCTTTTATAAGTCACAAGCTGTGAATTTGGTCTATAATTAATGCGCAACACTTGAAAGGAACAAGAGATGGTTGAATTAGCAATTAAGACTGCTGTTGATACTTCTTAAAAAATGCAATTGGATTATTGGTATTGTTGAGTTGTATGAGACAATTGAATAAACAATTAAGAATAATGATATATTTACTTATAAAAAAAAAAAAAGAATAATGATATATTTGGTAATTAAATTAAACTAGTGATTGGTGTGGAATAGGAACTGAATGAGAAATTAAGAGGGTTCTATTGTTACAATTTGGATAACAGACATTGGTTTAATCACGCGAATTGTAAGATTTGGACTAATATACAAGACATTTAATAAATGAAGTATGAAAGATATGTTTAACTTGTAGGACACTTGGTTTTGGCATTGAATGAACCATGTAAGTATTAAGCGGATGGTTGTGAAGAGGAATTATTGAATTCAATCATCATATAGTAAATACTCATCTATTGGAGTTCTTAATTTGCATTAAGCTGTGTGTAATCCCCTTATGTTTCAAATCTATTATGTTTATAAATTTATGTACAAATCAATTATGTTTAATCATGAAGAGTAATGAGTGACGAGGAAATGACTTGTTACTTGTTCTTTTGAGATGTTAATCACGAAAGAATGTTGGTTTAGTACTTATTGATTATTATGGATGGTGTTCAATACCCTTGTATGTTATTGAAGGGTTGTGTTATTTTCAGTTGACAAATGAGCTTTGTGAAGTTGATTAACGTAATCTATGATTATGGAGACAGAATCGAGTTTTAATTTCAGTTTTGAATACTATTTATTGCATTATTATCCTGTCTGGGATACAGTATAATCTGAATTTATAGTATTGGAATATGAATTGTGGTTCCAGTTCATGTCGAATCTGGATAAAGGGCAGACACTAAAGAAATTGATGTGAGAGACAATTAGGCCTGCAAGGGGGGCACTAACCACATTTTGTGTCCCAGTTCAGTTTGCTCTTCATTCATGCAAATCTATCAATATTCAATCTAATTTCTTGGTAAAACTAAATATGATGTGAACATCAAGCTAAAACTCTGTTGTATGCTAAATATGATCATCGATTTGATTTACTGGAACAATGATTTTAATTTGTGCTTATACTTCCATACACAGATTCGGAGCTGATCTGCTATAGCCTGTCGGTTGTCTGGGCAGTGAGAAGGGCAAGGTTTTCTGCATTTCCTCAAAATTTGTTCTCGTTGTTTGTTATACGTAGCTGGTAGTGAAACCCTGTACTTTGGGTACGATCATCCCCCAATATTTTCGAGCTCTGTTCACTAGAAGTTCTTGCTTATTTCTAAGTTTCATTTTTTATTAGTTATTATTTGTTCTATAAATTCAGCTGCCTTGGAAAGCCTTAATTATTTATTGAGAAGCAGATTTGCTTGTTTCCTGAAATGTTGTTAATATTTTAGACATTTTTTCTTTTTTTCTTTTTTTATACTGCATGAATTTTCACTTACTTATCAAAAAAAAAAAAAAAAAAAAAATATTTTCACTTGCATTGCATTTCCAGTTAACAAAGTGGTAAAAACACTGTTCTTTAGGATAAAAAGATGTTGCTATCTTACATTTTTCCTTGTTGAGGCTGCTTGGCTGTCTTCTGGTAATAAAAAAATTCTTATTTTTACATGGCAGTTGTATTTTTATCGAGAGTTTGTACACTCTCAAGAATGCCCTAAGCTTTTAAATTTTTTCCTCTTGAAACTGGAGTGAGTGCCTATTTTAGGAGGTCCCCAAATGTTTTGTTGCTTGCCCTAGTTGTAGGGATCTCCAAAATATGCTTTTCCTTATATCGTTAAATATTATTTGAAAGCCACTGAAGGCGGTGGCCTACTTTCTCTTCTTCCAAAGTAGAAGGTCGAGGGTTTAATAGGGGCAAGGGTAAGTGGGTATGTGGGTGCCTCTCTTGTCAAGGTAAAATAATAATAATATATATATATATATATATATATATATATATATATATATATATATATATATATTGTTTGGAAGCCTATGGTAAACAAATGCTTGAGGTTTCTTTTCTTGTTAGTGATATTTTGGTGTAACTGGCAAATTGTGTGCATTGAGAGTTGTAGCCTGCTGATAAAATGGGGTTCTGGTATGCTGGCTTGCCTTTTACATCTCTCTAGCCTATGACCCTTTTTCTTGTTATAGTGTCAGATAATTTTTATTTTTAATTTTTAATTTTAATTTTATCTTCTGGGATTCCTAGCTCAAGATCTCTCTTACTAACCGGACTGAAAGAATTAGTAGACATGTTCCGTCCGAAATTGGAATGGGTTCGAGTATGAACTTGTAATCCTATAATCTGATGATCGAGTTGATTCCATGGTTATGATGCAGGACTTGGATCTTCATTGTTGGCCTTCTTCAGGGCTAAGTAATTTGTGGCATTCGGTATGGTGATTAACATGGTATTTTGTGCCATCCTGATTCAGTGATATACTAGCGTTTACACTTGTTCAAGGCAAACGGGTTCTAGGTTTTACCAAATTAAGTATTATTTTCTGGTATTTTGTAAGAATTAAAAAAAGAAAAAGTTACTTATTGTAATATATCAACATTTGCATATTTTCGCTAATGATTCTAACCAGAATCATTTTTTTTTGGTTTACAATAAGAAATTGTATTTTCATTAGTGAAAATTTTCAAATGTTTTCTTTCTATCGTCAACATATATTCAGCCGTTTTGTAGTGTTACCAAACACGATTTTCAAGGTTGGACTCTTACCTCTTTAATTCACTGATATATTAGTGAGTTCGAAATGGTCGTGCAGAAAAATCAATAGTTTGTAAGTTATTAACTCAATATAAAAGAGCCGAAAACATATGTAACACATCAAATAGACACCTAATGAAATGCACCAATGCTTCATATCACAGACAAAATGCACTCACTGAATTTCGAGTATAAGATAGTTTACTCCCCAATTTTCATTTTCTTCTTTGATTTCCCATCTTAAATTATCTAACATGCATCCTACTTGTGGTCTCCTTTTGGTCCAAAACGTGTTTTCAAGTTTGAACTTGGGAACCTTTAGCTTTGATACCATGCTAACAATCAACCGTTGCTTATCAGGGATAAAAAAAAAAAACATAGCATTGTTTTCAATCAACAGACATAAAATTTGCTAAGAAGACATGGAGCCAGAAAGAGTTTGAAGAAACCTTCCATGATTAATTGGCCATTGCATGAGCCAAACCTTATATGCAGGGCTGGCCCTGGGCCTAGGCGACCCGTGCGGTCACCTAGGGCCTCCAATTTGAGTCCAAAATTTTGTATTTCTAGGGCCTCTCAAAATTTTGGGCCACATTCATCTAGGGCATTAGAAAATATCGGGCCTATCAGGGATGGCCCTGCTTACATGTTTCATTAGTATCATACTAAACCCGTGCTTACATGTTTCATTAGTATCATACTAAACCCGTCATCCTGTTGAAAAATAAACTTGATTTTAGTATTTTGTATTTCCAAGTATTTGGTATGCATATAAGCATGTAACCATAATTGTGGTAGTTAATTTTCTTAAGTGGAAGTTAGTTTGATTGTTGAAGTTATGTAAACCAAGAGACACGAGAGTTACATAACCATGACGCTAAGTAGATATAGCTTTCGAATCTAAATCACATTCTTTAACTAGTTCTATCTGCTAACCCTTGATGATAGCCTCACGACTAGCTTTCTCCTGTTTTAGCGGGAGAACTTAGTTCAACACTCTTTAGGTCCATGCCGTAGTACACGACACCAGGTTATGAGTTGTGGCGCAAGTGACATTTCAGATTTTGGCATAAGTGACATTTCAGATTACACCTTATCCTTTAGTCTATGTGATTGCTTGGTCAGGTATTCTTCAAAATGTTCTTTTACTGTAACTGCATAATCTTTGTCTCAATGTGTCGTTATAGTTCTGGAATACACCAAGAGTTTCTCTATAAATTTATTTCCTACTTCGAAACAACATATTTAAAGATTCTCAAGATACACTTGTGAGGGAGAGTGCCCCATTTTCTCTTCCCTATAGTATTATATAAATCCCTTTTATATATCTATATATTATATCTAAGTATATTCCTGCAATAGTCCTACGGAACCTGCTTTTAATTTTGTGGATTTCAATATTCGCGGATATATGTAATCCTCATTGTTACGAATAAATCTATCTTTACATACATATACTGGTTGGATTCTTATTTGATAATTCGAATAGTAATGCCTAAAAAGTCAAAGTCTTACCAAACTTCGTTTTTTTCGCCTTTTGCCTCTGATCATGACAAACTTTTAAGTCCTCCTTAAGATCTACATCATACTGCAGTCGATGTATACTGTACTGATAGTGGATGTGAATCAATAATAAAAGAATATTAATAATAAATAAATATATTTTATTTTAATTATTAAATCATAAATGATAATCAAATCACCATCTCTGATTTGATAAGTAAGTATTCACCACACCATATATTTATTTATTATTGGTACACATCAACAGTGAAAATAGTATAGATCCTCTTTAATGAGGACTTAAGTATTATTTTTTTCAAAATGATGACAATGTCCATCTATTCACTTTGCAAATCTATTTGCCTAGTAAGACCGTCCGGTTAGTAATGTCCGTTACAAAAATATTGATACTTTGATCCCTAACAGATGAGCCAAGTGAACATTGGGATCAAGATGGGGACAAGAAGTAACGAATTGTATGTTTGAGAGAGAATTTTCCTGTTGGAGATGGGCACCAAATGAAATAATTAAGTCATCTATTATGCAGGATCGTTGACATAAGGGTGAGCATAGTAGGTGGAAAGGTCCAACAGGTACCAGTGATGAATTGGAAAGGCAAAATTGGCTTATTTGGAAGGGAGTCAATGACAGTGGAACAAGCTAGGGCCGTGCTTGGCACTAATTGTCAAACCAAAAAGTGAGTTTTCCTTCTATTACCCACTTTATGAAGATAGTATCGGTTAAAATATTTTCACTCTGATAGATTATCTTTTCTTTGGTAACTTGATGCTAGGGGAAAAATCACCTCCAGTAAAATAGTACAACAATTTGTTCCATTTTTGTGATTCAACAGTACTTATCATGGTGGGTAAAAAATTATATTTGCTTTATATAGAATTTTTGTATATATATATATATATATATATATATATATATATATAAATTCTATATAAAGTATATATAATTTTTTACCCACCATGATAAGTATTGTTGATTCACAAAAATGGAACAAATTGTTGCAATATTTTCCCCGAGCATCAAGTTACCAAAGAAAAGATAATCTATCAGAGTGAAAATATTTTAACCGATACTATCTTCATAAAGTGGGTAATAGAAGGAAAACTCACTTTTTGGTTTGACAATTGGTGCTAAGCACGGCCCTAGCTTGTTCCAGTCATTGACTATATATATATATATATATATATATATATATGCATGTATGTATGTATACACTGTTCAAATATACTCTTCTTTCCTCCCTTATTTCTTCTTCACTCCCTCCATTTCAACAACCCATTTGAAATAAAATTGAAATCCCGCCACCCAGCTACCCTTCTTCTCTCCCAAAATATCAATTAACCCAGTTTAGAATTTGATTTATTTCCAAATAAATTTTGATTTCTTTCCAAATAGAAGTAGGAAGCAGGCTTTATTTCGAAATAGAATAAACGATTCTATTTCCAAATTGAATGTTAGATCAGACGTCTCCAAATCGAAGCAAGAGGTACGATTTCTTTATTTCTGCCATTCTTATGGAAATAAGAGGATTTCCTTGAAAACAAAATCTGAAAATTATACGATTTCTTTGTTTCTGCCATTCTTATAGAATTAAGAGGATTTCCTTGAAAATAAAATCTGAAAATTATAGTGGTATCTTAAATTATCCAAATCGAAACAAGAGGTACAATTTCTTTGTTTATGCTATTCTTATGGAAATAAGAGGATTTCCTAAAAAATAAAATCTGAAAATTATAGTTATATCCCAAATTATCCTCATTTACTGTGTCAGAACAATTTCCCAACATTTTTGTAACATATATCCCAACATATTTGTAAAGTGGTGCATTACAACATTCCCCTAAGGTACATCCCAACATTTTCGTACAAACATCCCAACTTATTTGTAAAGTGCATTCCAACATTTTCTTAAAGTGAATCCCAACATTTTCTAGAGGTGCATCCCAACATTTTAATTGCTGGTGTACCATTTAAAATGGTATTATTTCCTTCTTCTTCTTCTTCACCTTAGACCGCCGTTCTTCACTTCTTCTTCTTCACCTTACCGCCGTTCTGGTGCATCCCAACATTTTCCTACGGTGAATCCCAACATTTTCCTAAGATGCATCCCAACTTTTCCGAACTTTTCCAACCTAGCCTCAAACCTTCTTCC